GTGTGGGTGTGGGTGTGGGTGTGGGTGTGGGGTGGGGGCGTAGGTGTGGGTGTGGGTGTGGGTGTGGGTGTGTGGGTGTGGGTGTGTGGGTGTGGGTGTGGGTGTGGGTGTGGGTGTGGGGTGGGGGCGTAGGTGTGGGTGTGGGTTTGTTGGTGTGGGTTTGTGGGTGTGGGTGTAGGTGTGAGTGTGGCTAGGGTGTGGGTACGGGTGTTAGCATGGATGAAGCAAGAGGAACATCGCACCTACGTCCACACCGAAAACCCATTGACACTTTATTATTTAACGCTTATCGATTTTGTAGTGTGAATAACTAGACAAGAGGTTAACTGTTTTTAGATTGAAATTTCAGTGAGTTTTCTACTTTTCGCTTTCCAGAAATAATAGACTGAAACAGATGTTTCCATATTCAAATGATATATTAATTTGATATAAAAAATCAGATCGAAATATCTGCTGAGTGGTTTTTCTTTAAATACGTTCTCTGATCATAAAGTTTAGTTCTGTCGGCAAAAAAAGGCATAGAAATTCAACTTATTGTACACTATTTAGTTTTTCCTCCAGAGATAAATCTAATTCCGTTGTGAGTGTTTGGTAATGAAAGCATAAAAAGAAAAAAAAATACAACAATTACAATGGTTTCTAGTAAATGTTGATGCTAGTCATTTATGATGAAACATGAAAAATTCAACTCTCGGTCTAATAGATGTATGAAAGTATGCATTTTTTTGAATGTTTGATACATTCTATTCAACAGTTGCATATTCCGAGACTTGCATTTGATTTCACTTTTTTGGTTTCACGATTGTATTATGTCAAAGCAGTATATGGGTGTAAATACCATGCTATCTTCAATAAGGTTTTTAGCTGGTTTGGGGTAAGGAGTAGAAACTTCAGATTTTTCAAGATTATCAATGATGTTCTAACGAAAGTTCAGCGAAAAGCTTTAAAATAGTCAATAGCAATAGTTTAATCTGTAAATGATGTACTAGACTATATGACTTTTAAGACAGACTCATCATTAAGAGACTGGGCCGACGAAAGTAACGATGCCACATGAACCTTTTATCTCTTCATGTCAACAACAGTGTTCTGGATATGCCTTTTACCATACTTTGCAAGAAAAGCAAATGATGTAGACATATCACATTTAGTAATGCGACTGATTGATCTTTTTTTCATGTAGTTGCATTGGAATGTAAGATTAGATATACGAATAGTTTTTTTCACTATTCTGTCTCCGCTCCTTTTAACATTCAAAGCCCTCGATACGTACTTCCCATTGTGTTCCGTGCCCAGCAAAATAAAACAAAACCATATCTCCTTCTTCTATTGAATGTTTAAATTCAACCAGAGTAAGCTCCATTTGCTTATATGTCAAATCTAATTTCGGTCCATTAGTAATAAATCCAATACTTTCCAGCTTCGACGACATGTCACGCGCGTCATTTCTTGCATTTTTCAATATTTTCCCACTTGCATAGTTATCAATACCAATTATAAGTGCTAATTTACGGCGTGGTTGAGATCTAGCATCAGCTGTTGATCCAGCCGCCATTAGAGAATATTTTCAATCTTAACAAAAAGTGCCTGTGGTATTCAGTGGTACATCTGTGGATGCGAAATCTCTTACAGCTGCCTATCCTCTAACAGTTTTTTAAAACCTATGCAATGAATTACACGATGCATTACATTACCGATCTCTATTGATGATAACATACGGCTTATGCATCAAAGCATCTAGATAAAGAGTGATACACAAGTTTGGTTAAAAATGTCGAATCTTATTTCACCATATTGTCTCCATACGTCGTACTCATTTTTGTCTTGGAAACAGAAAAGTTTAAAATACAAAAACTATATTGATTACATTATTTCAGTATACACTTTCAAATGAAAAAACCTTGTTTGAGTACGAGTGTCGATGCTAGGTGTGTATGTGGCTGTAGACTTGATTGTGTCTAGGGTATGGTCGTTGGTGTGTTCGTGTGATTTTGGTGGTGGGAGGGGAAGCGATAAGACATTCCTACATACACATCGCCGCCCGCATCTACCACATCCACACCTCATCCACACTCACATCCACACCCACACCTACACCCACACCCACCTCACACCCACACCCACGCCCATCCCACACCCATTAATGTCCACAACAGCACCCACGCCTACACCCGATCACACCCCATCCATATCCGCACACAACTGGCATCGACATTTCAGTGTTTATGCCTGCGATGATTGATATAGCGAATTGTTCGCCGCATTGATCGAGGTAAAGACTCGCAATGCAGTTGCGAAACTTGCCATCTTTCGCTAATTCACTATACTCCGTCATCAGAATAGTGCCGTATTCCTTCATATCATCTTGAGCGATAGTTTCAATTGAAACAGCGAAATTGTTGGATATGTACTGGACAAATTCATGTGGGAGGCAGAGTCCTGCGAGAACAAAACTTTTCGTTTTCTCCCGCAGGAGTCGGGAACGGGAATTCCCGTGGTGATTTGGGTGCTGGAGACACGGGGATAGGAACAAAACTGAGAAATTAGCCTTCTTGAAAATCGTTTTGTCCTATTTCTATATGCATTAAAATGCGTTCACTAAAAATGAATATAGGTTAATTTCACCAAAACGAAACTCTTTTTAAATAGCAAACCTCAGTTGTGTCCTAAGTCGACGTTGTTAATATTTCTTTCTTGATCCTTAATGGATCCAATACGGATTGTTACAGGTTTTACTACTGTTTTCTTTAGGAAACGTCTATCCTCAAAGACGTGTGTAGGCACGGAATTTCACATTTCTGACAGAATCTAAATCAGTATTCAAAAGAGATCCAGTATGTTTCACCACTAGTTTCGAACCAGGAATTTTCCGTGGAAGCTCTCAATCCTGAAAGAAGCGTTAAGTCACGGAATTTCTAGGTTCTAACAAGATTCACTTAGGATTCAACGATTTACCACTTGTTTGAACCAGCAGCTGTTTAGTAAATCATGGAAACTTAAAAGAAACATGTATGTAAGACACATTCAACAGTTTGATCCGATGAAAGCCTTACGGAAACACGGGAACGGGAATGAGAAGAAAAACTTTTCTATCGGAACGAGAATGCGGGAACGCCAACAAAAGCTTTTTCGGGGACGGGAAAGGAATAAAAGTTTTCTTACGGGAAAGGGGACGGGAAACGGGAACCAAGAAAAGTTGTTCCCGCAGGACACACCTGGGAGGAATTCGTGTGCTCTTTGTAACTTCTGTGCATTAGTAATAGGGATGTTCTCTTCAAACTCCTTTGGTGTGTGCAACATGGTCATCTTGCTGACACACTTGATAAATAGAGAGCGAACACATCACACTAATTCATGTTTTCTCTATAGCAATGGAGGTTGCCTAGATTTCAATGTTGTCAGGTGGAGAAGACTAAAACGCTGTGTAAACAAAACTTCACTAAAGAGTCATTTGCTTGGCAGCAAATCGTACTGATACAATGAAATATTCACTATAACTTACCTGCGATGGTTGTCACTAATCGAGATTGCCCTAAAAGTATGGCGAATGACCGTTAGCGAAGCGTTTTCATCAGTGCTTTACATATATTTGCCTATCACTGTAAAGCAGCACTTGAATCTTTTCAGCTCTCTCGTTCTTTATTTATTTTTCGCTCGAAGCCTTACCTACTCCTACAATCTAAGCACCTAAAGAAACTCTAACGCGTGTACAAGTAAAACAGCAGAAGAAAGCGGTCGATTCTCGCTCACAATCGCAGTGCCTGATTCTCAGAGAAAGTGCCCACATTTTCTCTCTATTGCGTGCTTACGTGCATTTTCACTCGTGTAGCTGTCTCGTAGTTAATAAGTATTCATAGGTAGTTTATGGTGGGTGTGGGTGTGAGTGGATGTGGGTATGGATGCTTCTCTGGTCACTCACTTCAAGGCTACCTGCACCGACACCAATGCTCATTCGTCATTGTTAAGTGGGTGTGGGTGGGGTGTGGGTGTGGTTGGGTGTGGGTGTGGGTGTGGGTGGGGTGTAGATGTGGGTGGGTGTGGGTGGGTGTGGGTGTGGGTGAGGTGGGGGTGGGGTGTGGGTGGATGTGGGTGTTGGTGTGACTCAAGAGATTAAGTACATCCACACCGACACAGACAGCCACATCCACATCCCACACCCACCCACACCCAACTCTCACATCGACACGCCACACCCACCCACACCCCACCCACAACTACACCCACACTCACACTCTCCCACACACCCACACTCTCCCACACACCCATACTCTCCCACACACCCACACCCACACCCACACTCACACCCTCCCACCCACCCACACCCATACCCACCCACCCACACCCCACACCCACATCCACACACCACACACTCTCCCACACCCACACACACCACACCCACACCTACACCTACACCCACCCACACCCCAACTACACCCACACCCCAACTACACCCACACCCTCACACCCACAGCACTTCACCCACCAACCCAACCCCACACCTACATACCAGCTTTTTCCTTTCGACATTTAGCTTTGCTTTACTTTTTCCTTTCGACATTTTCCTTTTCCCTATTTTCATCTTCTACATTTTTGTTTTCGGCGTTTTTTTTCGAAATTTTCCTATTCGGCGTTTTCCGCCAATCCGCTTTCCTTGCGGGTATTTCTGTTGATTTCTCTGTGGTCGTGAGTAAAATGGTAAAAAGGTCGAAACTTCGCTCATTGATTTCGAAGCACAATCACGTAGTTCATAGTTTCTCAATCTGAGCTTCTCTCATAACTATTCGTGTGGAAGTTGTTTCGCTAACAATTTGACATGTAGTCCTGGGACACGAATTGCATGATTTTTAATGTGCCACATTACTTTGAGTTTTGAAGTTTGTTCTGGCAACTACTTGAAATAATTGAGTGAACGGACGCTATCTATCCTCAGTTTTGCGCATGACTCTCTGATTTTCATCTGTATAGATTAGTTTTGCAACCGAAAACTCTTCCGCTATTACTCTTATTCACACTAAAATCTTACTATTGTTTTCATTTTCTTCTTCTGCGTGCTGCTATTAAATTTGCATTTACAACATTCTTGAATTTTCGTTTCTCGCCTCTTTGATAACTAAAATTGATGAATAAAATGAGAGAAAAAAAATGAGCAGACTGTTTGCTATGTCTTAGTGCTAACCCATGTCGTCAAAATCGCCTAAGTTTTCACGATTAATCGCGATTTTTCAAAATACTAACGATTAATCGCGATTCTTAGAAAAAAGTTGCCGATTAATCGCGATTAATCGTTGGTATTCTGAAAAATCGCGATTATGAAAAAAAACCGCCAATTAATCGCGATTAACCGTCAGTATCTTTAAAAATCGCGATTAATCATCAATATTCTGAAAAATCGCGATTGATCGGCAATTGTTTTATATTATCGATATAGCGCGATTAAACTGGCGAATTATTTAACTTAAAATTTTTTGACTCAAGCTAAGAAATTGTAGCAATGCTCAGTCATTTTCCATGTCATCAAAATCGCGCTAGTTTTAGTTATTAGTGGCGATCCCAAAAAAATCAGCAATTAATCGTGATATTTCAAAAACTAGTTTGTTAGTTATGTAAATAGGAAAATAAATAGAATATATTATTTTGTTGAGACTGAAAGTGTTTTTTGATTATTTTTGTCAAAATATTTTCATAATTTCCATACCAAAATTGTGAAGCGAAAATTCAGAATGAACATTTACTGGTAGGCGGATTTTAACCAATAAAAAAAATATGTATAAAATCCTTATTATTTATTTTTCGGCTTCTTTATAGTCTAGATTATTTTGATCTATCCAAAAAAGCGATTGTAATTCTATATTTTTTGAGTGATGAAATGCGTTTTTTGCCATGTTTAATCGAAGTATTTTTCAAAAGAGTTTTAGCGCTATTTTATGAATGCTCATATATTTATCATAAGATAAATAATTTTTTGACTATTCTATATTTATAATAAAAATGAGTAGTTTTTGAATAGCCAAATTTAAAAAAAAACAACTTTTTATAAATTGGCTTAGTTAAATTACAGATTATAATATATTCAATTTATTTTATATAAAAATTCAATCTATTTTTTATAATAAATTCACTAAATTTTTTACATAAATAATGAAAAATTATTTATCTTTGTTTTTAAATAATAGGAGAATTATATACCTAATTTTGCTCATAGTTAAATTTTCGTGAAGCGAAAAATTTTGTTTAATAGAAATATAAAATTCAACGATTCGAGGAATACGTAAGAATGGTCTAATGGTATATTCTCTGCTTCGAAACTACAAGGGCTTCTGTTCGAATCTACTCTATGGTAATTAAAAAAATTATATAAAATGCCTTTAGCAAGACAGAAAATACATTGACAGACGAACCAGGTTTACGAAAATGTATGTAAATAGTGAAAATAAAGTTCAAGATCATGATAGACTTGACAATAACTTTTTAGAAGTTTGATACATCGTAGCATGCTGCTTTTTGCTCAAAAGTGCGCTACTATACGCAGCTTCACGACCACGTTTAAGAGTTTAG